GGGTAAGATATAGGTCCAGTGTCATTCTTTTGCTTGTGACTGTCCACTTTTCCTAGTATCATTTAGTGAGGAGACTATCCTTCCCCATTGTATATTCTTGGCTCCTTTATCATAAATAAATTGATCAAATATGTGTGGATTTACTTCAGGGCCCTCTGTTTTGTTCCATTTATATTTGTGTCTGTTTTATGCCAATATCATACAGTTCTGATCACTACAACTTTGTAATATAGTTTGATATTAGGATGTGTGATGCCTCCAGCTTTGTTCTTCTTTCTGAAGATGGCTTTGGCTATTTAGGGTCTTCTGTGGTTCCATACAAGTTTAGGTTTATTCGTTCTATTCTGTGAAAAATGTCATTGGAATTTTCAGAGATTGTATTGATTCCAAAGATTACTTTGGCTAGTACAAACATATTAACAGTGTCAATTTTTCCAATCCATGAGTATGGAATATCTTTTCATTTATTTGTGTCTTCTTCAATTTTTTTCATCAATGTCTTATAGTTTTCATTGTACAGGTCTTTCACCTCCTTGGTTAAATTTATTCCTAGACATTTTATTCTTTTTGATGCAATCATAAATGGGATTCTTTTCTTAATTTCTCTTTGTGATAGTTTGTTATTAGTATATAGAAACACAACTGATTTCTGTAGATTGATTTTGCATCCCACAACTTTACTGAAATCATATATTGGTTCTAACATATACTGACATCTTGTGGCATATCTCTAATTCTGAGCCAATTGATTTTTTTTCCCACTTTCCTTTCTTGTGTATTGAAAACATGTACAGTGTGACTAGGGAAGGAAGTCTCTGTGTTGTTTATTTTAAGTTGAAGACACTGTAATTCACAAGCCAACTGAAAGATTTTTCTAATGGGATTTTTATTGGCATTTATTTAGCCTATTGGGAGCACATCTGGCAAAGTAGTAGGTAATAAGCATTGCATTCTCCATTCTATGAACTGGTAGAGCTAGAAAAAAAATTATCAAATAATTTTCACATGGAAAGGTATAAAAATTATCTAGCAGACACCTTTGCTATGAGAATAAACAGATATTTAATTTTGCTGTGTTTCCTGCAGATCTCTCTCTCTCTCTCTCAAACCTTACAGACAGAACCAAAAGAGTAACCCCTATTCCTTCTCTTGTTTCTAAAGTAGTAACCACTATTAGGAATATTCCATGCATGTCTTTTAAAATTTTAGCCTTATAGATATGTATCACAAAACAATATATTATACTCTGTTTGTATTTTGACATTTCTCGTAAATAAGTGTGATGCAGTACGTATCATTATGGTACTTTTTACACTCAGCACTTTTTTTAAAAAGATATATCTAAGAAAATCTGCATAGAACTACTTTTTTGCTTTTAATAGGGTTATATTTCCATTGTGTGAATACTCCACTATTTGTCCATTCCGTTACTGATTGATTATTCTTATGTTAAAACAGTGCTGCAGGGGCACCTGGGTGGCTCAGTCGTTAAGCGTCTGCCTTTGGCTCGGGTCCTGATCCCAGGGTCCTGGGATCGAGCCCCGCATCGGGCTCCCTGCTCTGCGGGAAGCCTGCTTCTCCCTCTCCCACTCCCCCTGCTTGTGTTCCCTCTCTCGCGCTCTCTCTCTGTCAAATAAATAAATAAAATCTTAAAAAAAAAAACAAAAAAACAAAAAAAACAGTGCTGCAGTGAGTACCCTGTAGATGTCTCCTTGCTCAAATATTGAATTTCTTTAATGTAGATATCAGGAATTGGAACTGCTGGGTTTTTTAGATATGTATATCTTCTTTATTAGGTTAGGAAAATTGTTCTCCTAAGTGTTTGAATAAATTGTTCTCTGTGTGGTTGTTTTTCTTCAACTGAACAGGTCTAATAGTCCTTATCTCCCTGTATTCTTGTCAACATACTTTTATCAGACTTTTAATTCTTTGCTGACCTGATAGAAATGAAATAGTAATTTCTTTTAATTTAATTTCCTCTGATTACTATAGAAGTTGATGTTTTATATGTTCACTGGCCATGCCTAGTTCCTCTCCTTTAGAGTGTCTTTAATATTCTTATCTATTTTATATTGGATGTTTGCCTTATTTATTTGTAGGAGTTCCCTATTGTACCCATAATTCCTAATATTTTCTTGGTTATATGGCTTACAAATACATCCTTCATCTCATTTTTAATTTTGTAGTGAGGTTCTCATGTAGGCTAAAATTCCCCTTCTTTTACTAATGCTTTAGGAATTTTTATTTCTAATTATCAAATTACTTTAATGACTCTAGATCTATTTAGTTTTTCTATTTCTTCTTGAGTTATTTTTGATAATTTATTTTGTCTATTAAGTTGTTCCTTTTTCTCAGAGTTTTAAAACTTACTGGCTCAGCATAACTTTTTCTTAATAAAATTTTAATTTCTACTGTATTTCTAGATACGTCTGCTTTTTAATCTTTCATTTAATTGTTTTTATTGGTTTCCTAAAAATTTACCACAAACTTGGTGGCTTAAAACAATAAAAATGTATTCTCTTACAACTCTGAAGTTTGAAAGTCTAAAATCATTTCCACTGGGCTAAAATCAAGGTGCCAACTGCTCTAAGTTCTTCTGGAGGCTACAGGGAATAACTGTTTTCTTGCCTTGTCCAGCTTCTAGAAGCTGTCCTAAGTTCCACATCACACCGCCTCATCTCCCTCTGGTTCTGTCCTCACATCACTTCTCCTCTAACTCTACTGCCTTCATCTTATAAGGACCCTTCTGATACATTGGGCCCACCTGGATAACCCAGAATAAACTCCCCAGCACAAGGTCCTTTTTTAAAAAAAATTTTATTGTTATGTTAATCACCATACATTACATCATTAGTTTTTGATGTAGTGTTCCATGATTCATTGTTTGCATATAACACCCAGTGCTCCATGCAGAATGTGCCCTCTTTAATACCCATCACCAGGCTAACCCATCCTCCCACCCCCCTCCCCTCTAGAACCTTCAGTTTGTTTTTCAGAGTCCATCGTCTCTCATGGTTCGTCTCCGCCTCCGATTTCCCCCCCTTCATTCTTCCCAGCACAAGGTCCTTAAATAACCATATCTGCAAAGGTGTTTTTCTTTTCTTTTGTTTTTTTTGTTTTTTTGCCTCTGTAGGGACCCAGGGCAGGTGCCCCAAAATGTACCACAATGGTATATTGATTATTTTGAACTGAAACTCTTTGGGAAACAGCAGGTGCAAGAACACTCAGCCCCTTCTCTGTCCCCCTGAAAACAGGAAATAAATCTCTGATGTGAAAAATACCCTCCCTGTACTAAGAAGTAAAAAGACAGCCTTATCACCAAAGATAGGGACTTTAAAGCTGGGTAAGCTATAGAAACAAACCTTGTGACTGTCAGCTCAAATTCTGCTTAGAATTCCGTATTAATAAAGTTCCCAAACATCTGGGGTTTTTGTCTTCTAAATTCCTCACAAACCTATGTTCTCCTTGTTTAAATTGTATTAAAACTGCCTGCTTTGGTCATTGCTTTGGGTCTCAATTTCATTATTGGGCCTCCACGTGCATATAATACAACTTGATTTTTTTTTTTCTCCTGTTGCTCTGTCTTGTCTCAATTTAATTTCTAAGCTAGCTGGAAGAAGCCTGGGAGTAAAGAAGGAAACTTCTTCCCCTACATCATGTAAGATAATATATTCACAGATTCCAGGGAATATGACATGAACATCTTTGAGGGTCATTACTCAGCCTACTACATTGTTTAAGTATTTTTAAATTTTTCTATTATTAATATTATCAATATTTTTTAGTTCATTAAAAATATTCAGCACTGGATTTCCCCATTTATTGTTTTGGTTTTGTTACTGTTTGATTAATTTTTATACTTTATTTTTAATTAAAGTACAATCTATACAATGTAATAAATGGGTCATAAGTATAAAGTTAGAGGCATTTGAAAAATTGCAGACTTATAAATCACAACCCCATCAAACTGTGGAGTATTTCCTTCACTCCATCAAGATCCCTTGTGCCCCACCCAAACAGTTCCCAACCCACACAGGAAACCATTGCTCTGCTTTATTTCACTATGGATTGGTTTGCCTATTTTAGAATTTCACATGAATGGAGTCAAACTATATGCACCATTTTGCATCTGGAAATTTTTGCTAGGCATTATGTCACTGACGTTTATTCATGTTGTTATGGGTATCAGTGGTTCTGTCCATTTCATAGCTGAGCTAATATTCCATCGTATATATACAGCACAGTTTAATTTGTTTATGTATATTTTCTCTAGTTTATTGCTATTATGAATAAAGCTGCTGTGTATATTTCTTTTTTTTCCTAAAGATTATTTATTTATTTATTTGACAGAGAGAGACACAGTGAGAGAGGGAACACAAGCAGGGGGAATGGGAGAGGGAGAAGCAGGCTTCCCCGCTGAGCAGGGAGCCCGATGTGGGGCTCGATCCCAGAACCCTGGGATCATGACCTGAGCCGAAGGCAGACGCTTAACGACTGAGCCACCCAGGCGCCCCTGCCGTGAATATTTCTACACCTAGCTCTAAGTCATGAAGATTTTCTCTTATATTTTCTTCTAAAAGAATTACAGTGTTTCATTTTACACTTGGGTGTATTAACCATTTCGAGACTATCCTCAAATTTTTGTGTAAAGGTGTGAGATTTAGGTCAAGTTTCAATTATTTGCTTATGAATATCTGATTATCCCAACACCATTTGTGGCTAAGACTATCTTTCCTCCATTGAGTTGCCTTGAAACTTTTCTCAAAAAATCAGTTGTCCCCACTTGTGTGGGTTTACTTCTACACTTTCACTCAGCAGCACAAAGTTGTTAATAATTCCCCTTTATTTCCTTTTAGTGTAGAATCTGGGGTGTGGTTTTCTTTCTCATTCCTTACATTTGTACTTTGTGTCTTCTCTCTACTTTGATAATTCTCACTAGGGATATACCAATTTTATTAATCATTTTAATAAAATAAACTTTTAAATTTTTTATCTTTATTGTTTGTTTTGTAGTTTACTAGTTTGACTTTCTAATTATTTTTTTTCTTTTAGCTCATGTTGGGTTTAATTTTTCTTCTTTTTCTATCTTCTTTTGTTGAAAGCTTAGAGCTGTGTTTTTCAACTTTTCTTCTTTAGGAATATAAGTATCTAAAATATTAAATTTCCTAAGTGAAGGGGATTAAGAGTACACTTATCATGATGAACACTGAGTGCGTGTAGAATTGTTGAATCAGTGTATTGTACATCTGAAACTAATATAATACTCTATGTTAGCTACATTGGAATTAAAATAAAATAAAATGAAATGTTAAATTTCCTTCTATGTACTATTTTAGCTATATCCCATATACATTTATATTTTATATACTGTAATAAAAGTTATGTGAATGTGGTTTCTCAATATCTTATTGTGCTGCACCCCCTTTTCTTTCTTATGATGATGTAACATGAAAAAATGTCTACATGGTGAGATGAAGTGAGGTGAATAATGTAGGCGTTGTGACATAGCGTTAGCTCACTATTGACCTTCTGACAATATGCCAGAAGGGGGATCATCTGGCTTCCAGACTACGGTTGATCACGGGTAACTAATACCACAGAAAGTAAAACTGAGGTTAAGAGGAGGCTACTGTATTTTAAAGTTTAGTGCTTACATTCCAAGTACTTGGAAGTTTCTAGAGACATTTTTTTGCAATTGATTTTCTCAATTTCACTTTGGTCAGAGAATAAATTCTATATAATTGCAGTCCTTTTAAATGTATGAAGAATTTTTTTGTGGCCAAACAGATTCTGTGTGTGTGTATGTGTGTGTTTGTATTTCCTCTACACAGTAGGATTTGGCTGGAGCCTCAGCTTCAGGTTTGGGGCCAGGCTGCAGGTGCCTGGGGAGCACTGTGCTTTTGCTGCACAGAAGTAGGTGGCTGAGTCTCCAGGCTGGGGAGCCGTGACGTGCAATGAAAATTGTTTGGCACTTACATTGAGGGAAACTGTGAATCTTCCATCTTCCTTTGTACTCGCGACCAAGAGCATAGCCAGCAATAATTCGGGGCCTTTACCAGGGTATTGTCGGTACCATAGGAAGTAGTCAAATGCACTGTTCTCGTAAGTACAGTTCAGCGTAGAAATCTCTCCTTCCCGGACTGTCAGAGATTGAGGGACCTGTTTTACCTGCTGCTGGCCACTCTTACTATTCTGTTGGCCACTCACCCCTGCTTAAAAAGATAATAAAAGTCATTAGGTCCCCAAATTTATATTTCCCTACCTGCATGAGGTTTTCTGTATCCCAATGTCCTCATCCCCCCCAAATTAATGACATATCCTGGAGTTTCTCCTCCACAACTCACAGCCTCGTTGAAGCCATAGAATTAAAATGGATGTTCTCAGGATCCTGGCCATCCCTCCTGATACCAAAGCTCAGGGACAATTCAGCTGGTCCTCTGGTCTTCCTCGCCTGCTAGGACTCTAACTTAAAGTTCACACCTGCTTTTAATTCCTTCAACAGGCCCCGCCCCTTCACAAGTGCATTTCCTTGAAGCTATTTCTGTCCAAGGGTCAAAGGAAGCTCTTCCTCATTTTGCCCGAACTTAGAATGGCTGAAAATATTTTCACTGGGAATCAGAGATTTCCTTCTTACACACAGATTAGGATGAGTTTAGAATATCTTTCCTACAAAACCCCTCTTCCTTTTCCTCACACCTCCTAAAATGTTAAAAATCATATATTAAGTCGGCTTAATATGTCAATAAATATTACATTTATGGTGGGGAAGAGAGGGACTCCTACGAAGCCACAAGATCAGCATGTATAGGGGCATTTCTTTTTTTTTATTACAAGTACAAATTAAAGCCTATTAAAGACACACAAAATGCACACTATCCCATTATAAGCTAGGGTAATGGGGCAGAGCACAAAGAATATATGGTCTCTTTCCGCTCAGGGAACTTAAATTTTATTACAGTCTTTCAGATATGTCCATATTTTACATGATCCTAAGAAATGACAGAAAGTAATTAAATCAATTTCAATTTCTTTTTTTGTTTTGTTTTAATTTTTTTTTTAAGATTTTATTTATTTATTTGAGAGAGAGAATGAGAGAGAGAGCACATGAGAGGGGGGAGGGTCAGAGGGAGAAGCAGACTCCCCGCTGAGCAGGGAGCCCGATGCGGGACTCGATCCTGGGACTCCAGGATCATGACCTGAGCCGAAGGCAGTCGCTCAACCAACTGAGCCACCCAGGCGCCCCAATCAATTTCAATTTCTTTAAAATATTTCTTATTTAAAATATTTCTTCTAGAATAGAAATCAGGTAAATTAAATATTTCTAAGAATATACCTGGGGAAAAGAAGTTAGGAAGTACTGGAATTATCTGTCCTCCAGGAGCTTTGATCTCCAAATGGGTACAAGAGAATGGAAAGATTCTGCAGATTTCGGAAGACTTGGAGCCTTGACCATCCAGTGTGTAGCACTTTTGGTAGCACTCAACCTGAGTTTGAGCACATGTTGAACCTTTTCTTCACGTTTTGTCCTTATGGGTGAAATATGAAAATACGAAGAATCCATTTGGCTTTAGATGTTAACACAGCAGGACGCAGAGACAGAAATTGAGGATAAATTCCAAAACAACCCTAAAAAAGGGTGATCTGCATTACAAATAATAGAAATTAGAAGAAATAAGGAGCACATATTTTTTCTGAGGCACAGAGAAAATTTTGTATCTGTATTTGATATCACCTCAAATCTAATAAAAAAGTAAACATATCACAGTCCAACAGGAGCCAATGTTAAGAGTCCCCATTCCTCATTCTACAATCTAATCTCATTCTAGTCCAGTACCGTAAAGAGATTTTTTATTGTTTGCTGAATTTGTGATGTGTTTTTTCTTTTTCATTTATTCATTCATTAATGCATATCTTCATAATATATTAAGTGAGTGCCTACTACATCGGCAACACTTGGGTCTCATTCATCAAAGAGACATAGTCCTGATCTTCAGTCAACGTAGTCAGTACTCAAGTATACCCAGATAAAGGTTTATGAAAGAGAATTGTGTACCTATACGATGTGACTAAAAAAAGAGTAACGAACTCTTGTTTCTGGGCCCAGAAAGAGAAGAGTTCCAATGGAGGAGATGCTTGAACTGGGACTTATACATCGTCAATAGGGTTCCTAGTATAAATTATGGGTTAAGAGAATTCTAGACACACGTTAACTCAGTGATTGGAAGTTGGCTGTGTATGGTGAAAACAACATAAATTCATATTGAAGAAGCTAATATGGCCCTGACTTTGAAGAACAAGGTGTATCATTTTAAAAAGTGTTGCTTTTCAAAGTCTTTTTCAAACTATTAGACTGGAATAAACACAGATACTCTTAAGGTAGATGGATGGATATGTAGGTAGATAGATACATAGATAGACGATTGATAGATACAAATTTAAGCAAAGTAGGAGATAATAGCCTATTAAATTTTTAAAAATATTAGTTCTGGCTAGCTGATGATCCTGTGTGTGTGAGACCGATGTTAATCTTCTCTGAAGCAGCACTGCCTCTTGGTGGCCATATAGAAAAGTTACACTGACCAATTTTACGCAGCTTCTTAACCTTTGTGTTCAGAAATCCCTGGATCAATCAGAGCACTGAAGTAAGAGGCTGAGTCTTCTTGAGCCAGTGATTTCTTCAGATGGAGTAGATTTTGTTCTTGTTGAGATCCCCTATGAAACCTTTATGGCTATTTACTGAGGTTTATCTCAGATGGATCTGGGGGTCCTGGTTGCGATGCTGGACTTACCAAGAGGCAACAGGGCGCCTGTCAATCTCACTTGCCCTAGGGGCTTTTCAGATGCAGAAATTGGCCCTCAGGCTGAGTCCCCGCTTGGGCTGTCCTTCTTCCAGTAATACCAACATCAGATCAGGGAGAGCCCTTCATACTGAAGAGAACATGTCCTGAAATAAATTCTAATGTAGACCGTTGTTTTATATCTTTGCCAAAATGTGATATAGTCATCTATTTTTTTTTTTCAGCTAACATAATAGTTGTGTAATGATCTCATTGTGGTATTACCCTGCGTTTCTCTGATGACTAATGATGTAGGAAGCTTGGCATACTTTTTCCCTGAAGAGCCAAATAGTAAATATTTCAGGCTTTGTAGGCCATTCGGTCTCTGCCACAACTACTCAACTCTGCCATTGTAGCAGGAAAGAAGCCACTGATAATACATAAATACATGAGCATTGCTATGTTCTAATAAAACTTTATTTGCAAACATAAATGGCTCGCTAGATTTGGTTTGTGGGCCATATTGTGTTGACTCCTGATGTAGAGCATCTTTTTATGTGCTTATTGGTTCTTCCTATATCTTTTATGAGAAGTCTGCTCAAATATTTTACCCATTTTTAAAATGGGTAATTTATCTTTTATGGATATTTTTTTAATGGCATGTTCGTAATTCAGTGAAGAATCTTACTGCTATGTGGACACAATCACCTATCACTACATGGTCCACAATTGCTTTGAAAATTCTGACTTTGGAACCAGTGACTTAGCAGACATACAGAGCAATAAACATCATGATTCGGACTAGAATAAGCTACAAAGAGAAATTCATTTTCCCATAATCACAAATGTTGATGATTTTATGAGTTCTGATATCATGTCAACTAATGCTGATGTTGAGTTTCAAACAAGAACAGATGTCCTTGATGTTAGGTTTGTTGTGGGTATAGGGGAAAATAGTAAAAAACTTAAAATTTTTAAATTTTTCACAAGAAAATATGCACTAACTGCCGTCAAAGGATAAAGCAAACTGTGGTGGGATTTATACTCTAGAGCTCCCCACAAAATCAGGTCATCTGAAATCTGATCCTTGTTAGGCCTTTTCCCTTTCCTTTCCAGGTGCACAAATCCTTATCTCAAGGTGTGCCTCTGGGGAACAGGACCTAAGACAATGGGTATTTAAGTTGTTCATTATTTTCTATTGGTGGAAAAATAGTCATACTCTTATAATTGTGATGTCTTCAGTAGACATGATGTGCCCAGTGTGGGAAGCAAAAACAAGAGAAAAAATTAAATTTCCTTACCTCCTACAGCCCATTGACAAGTCCTTGAAACAGGCAGAGTGACCCTCTGGTAGCTCAGCTGTCTTGATGAAGGAAAAGGCAATCTTAGCTTAACATTATCCCAAACCCCCTGGATCCTGTGAGTCTACTTTAACATACAAAAATTCCTTTGGAAACTTCCTTTATCTCTGCCCCACAAGACACATGTTGGCAGTCATCCTCCAAGGATATGACTCACCGATATACATCTGAAGGGTCTCATGACTAGGATTTTACTAGACAGTAATAAATGACCTTTTCCTAATGATAGCTAGCCCCCTCAAGTTCCTGGAAACCTTGCTTCCAAAATTCCTTAGTGACTTATGCTATTCCCTAACTCCCTCCCAACTTGAAATTATATAATGGGTCACTCCTCATGACCACGGTGCAGCTCTTTCTGCCCACGGGTCCTGTCCCCGTGCTTTAATAAAACCACCTTTTTGCAGCAAAGACGTCTCAAGAATTCTTTCTTGGCCATCAGCTTTAAACCCCAACCCTTTCCTACCTCAAAACTACACTGTTGGGTTTTGTAAAAATCAACACTAATGGTGTTTTGTGTTAAAGAGTCAGAAACTTAGAGATGAGCCTTAGTCTTCCTTTATTTTGGATAATAACTCTAAGAACAACTAGTGTTTGATTTGAGAGAAGTTACGGTATTCCTGTTTCTAATCATTAATCCTCTCCAGAATACACGGTTGTTTTACGATGACGATGCATGGTGTGTTTGATTAATTGTACCTGGGACAGGGTTAGGCTAAAAGCAAGATGATGGCTTGCTTTCTTGATGGAGAAAATCAATGTATCTCAAAGAAAAGTTGAACTTTCGATTATTCTCTGTGTAGGCCTATTCTATGTGCTAGTACCATGAATAGGAGGCTGTAAATTCCAGAATGGCAGTGTGAGTAGATCTGATGTAGTTTTGGAATGTTGGTGAGGTGAGGTCCAGAGCCAACAGCCAAGGAAGAATTTTTGAGATGTCTTTGATGCAAAAAGTGGTTTTATAAAAGCGCGGGGACAGGACCTGTGGACAGGAAGAGCTGCTGCCCTGGGATTGTGAGGAGCATCTGATTATATACTTTGGGGTTGGGGGAAGTAAAGGTAAGGGAGGTTCCAAAAGGATCTTCATATGCTAAAGAAGACTCTCAGGATCCTGGGGGCCTTGCTATTGTCAAATTAAGATTGTTTTTGCCTTTAGCAAGGAGTCAACATAAAGACAGTTGGGAGCTTCCTGGAGGAACATTTACTCTGCCTGCCTCAAGTATTTGTCAATGGGCTGCAGGTTAGTTATAAAGACATTTTTATCTACATTTCTTTCTACCTATGTTTCCCACATCCGATCCACGGATACAGTCCCCAACAAAACAATCACAACTGATGGAAATTATTTTTTAAAAATTAAAGTCTCTGGACATTGTCCTAAGGGTATACAGCAAATAAAAAGGGCATGTAGAGAAATATTTATTCAGGAAAATCTACTAAATCTCTAAGAACAGAAGGAGTCTGTGGCAATGGAGCCATGACCCACTCCCAACCCCCCCTGACCCCAGCTCGGGATGATGGAAGCTCTATGCTGGGTGGGTATAACCGAGAACACAGGGATCCTTGTCCCCCCAACTCCTGATATAGGGCTACACTATCTCCCTGGGAGAAGCTGACTGCCAACACCTCTTATCTCCCCCAACTTTTTGTTACAGAGGCTCCATTGCAAGCAAGAGAAGCCACAGAGTGCCTACTTTTCACCCCACTCACAGGGCAGAAAAACGGTACCCCAAGCATGACAGACTGAGAATACTGGGTCCCTGTTGCACTCACCCCAGCTCACTCATAGAGTGGTGGTTCCATGCTGGGAAAGGCAAGCCAAGAAGACCAGAAGCTACTCCCTCCACCCAGCACACTGCTCATAAAGCAAGAATACCACTCGGAGAAATGCAAACTGCTATCCCTTCTCACACCTCCAGAGTAGTGGCACAGAGGTTATGCCCAGGGAGACAAGCAGCTGTAAGAACAGAGCTCTCCCATAGAGAAGACTTTATCTGGAACAGAGCATTAGGAAGTTCAAGTTTAAGGGTACTTTTGAAAACAGCAGAGGTTTTTGGTTATAAGCAATTAATAGAAGTCAGGTAGCTCAAGGACAGCAATAAGCTAAATCATGAACTAGCTAGAAATTTAACAGGAAAGAGAGCTAGGAAGTACCCTCCAGGGGTCAGAACAAGCCTCAATGATGAATCTCAAAGACTACCTTTGCAAGGGGGCTTGGAGCAATTGATGCCAACTGAGATATTGTTGAAAATGACAGAACAGTCAACCAACACTTAATTGAGGCTAGTGGCAAGGTGTCATACAAACAGGGCAGAGACCTTACTTACCACAGATCAGGGAAAAGGACCACCAAAGAGTGTCTTGCTAAAACCACTATCATATCTGCATGTCTGGGCACATCCCCAAGACAGTGTCCTTCTAGGACCCATGTCAGAGGCTGTACAATGTGGGGAAAATGGACTTAACTGAAAGAGTCAAGGCACTAAACAAATAAACAAGCAAACAACAAGCCCTAAAAGGGGTGAGGAATGGAGATCCAGAATTGCTATAATATATACGGCCTGAATAATGGCCCCCAGTGATATTCAGGTCTTAATATGCTGGGTATCTGAATATGTGAACGAATATGGCAAAAGGGATTTTAGATATGTGATTAATATAAGGATTTGATATGAATTATCCTGGATTATCTGGGTGGGCCCAAAACAGAATTACAAGTGTCTTTATAAAAATGAAGTAGGAGATTTGACTCCAGAAGAGGAAAGAGATGTGGTAGTAGAAGCAAGAGGCTGGAATGATTCAAGGACGTGTCATGGGCCAAGGAATCCAGGTGGCCTCTAGAAGCTAGAAAAGGCAAGGGAATGGATTCTCCTCTAGACCCTCTAGAAGGACTCAACCCTGCTGAGAACTTTTACTAGACAGAGAAACTGATTTCAGACTTGTTGAGTCCAAAACTATAAAAGAATAAATTTGTTTTGTGTTCAGTGACCAAGTTCATATATGAACATTCAGCAGAAAATTTTTTTGTTTGCTTTGCTGCACTAGTAGGATGGGATGCAACTATTTGCAGTTGTCTGTTGGGACACATCATGCTAAGAGAGATCTGAACACTCCTGAGACACCCAGCTAAGCTGGATCATTGCCTAGTAACATCTTTATTGGAGTGGTTTTTTTTTTTTCTTTTTATTCCTTTGACTTTTTGCCCTTTTGGAGTCCAGCCTACTGTGGCTTAAATATTTATTTTAATTCCGTCTTCTTATTAGCTACTCTGGGTGTTCCAAGTTAGAGGTTTATAGTGCAGAAAAAGAGACACCAGATTGAGAAGGGAAGATGAAGACCAAATCCCAAATCTGTAGGACCAACAAGCGTCTGGTTCCAACTCTACTGATATAGTAGGGAGTGGTAAGCTGTACAGATGCTGTGTGGTGGGCTCCTGATCTGACGGCGGCTGGAGGAGGAGCCCAGCCCAGCTGAGGGTTTGTGCACAGGCTGCAGGCACCTGGGGAGCACTGTGGCTCCACGGCACAGAAATAAGTGGCTGAGTCTGTGGTCTGGGAAGAGGAAATGGACAGCGAGCTGCGGCGTTCCTTAGCGACTGTCGTAGAGTTTAATCTTCCATTCCGCTTTGTCCCTGAAGGAATGTAAAACAGGTGGATGAGGCGGCCCCCAGGATCTTGGCGATACCAGTGCACGTTAGCCGTAGAGGTGGAAAAATTGCACTGCAGCGTGGAACTGGCTCCCTCCTGGAGACTCAGGGCCGGGGGCCTCAGCTCCACCTCTGCGCCTGTCACACCTGATGAGAAACGGACACAC